AGGCGGGGAAGGCCCCCGAGGCGCCGTCCCCGGGGGGCGGGGAGCCCCCATGCCCCCCTCAGTCATCTCCCGCCCGGAGACGTCGCTTGTTGCTGACGAAAGAAAGAGGAGCTTAATTTCCCAAAATTTTATTAAAAAAGTGATTCTGCCAAAAGAAGCATTATTGGAAAGATGAAATCTTGCTGCCGACAGCGCGGTTGGCTGTAATCTCAGGCTTCTTCCCAATAAGAAAGTTTTTTTTGCTGTATTAAAAGTGTAGGGCTTTGCCGCAATGCATTCAGAAGAAGGTGACAGAATGCTGATTAACAACCTGTATTTAAAATTATTCCTAAAAAGTAACTGAAGGAGCCTGAATCTTGACAATTTTTGCTGTCTCATTTATGAGTGTTGTAGCTTGTTCATCATAAACTCGCCCCTGCCTCGCTTGCTCTCATCAGAATTAATTTAAAAGAAGAAAATGCAATCGAGGTTTTAAAGTTTAGTAGATACAGTTGCAAAATAGTTTCCTTTAATGTTTTTATTGCTTTCTCTTAATGATCCCTAACAGGCTTCCTGTCATTTTAACAACAAATACTTAGTAGCTATGCATAAAAAAGCAACAGTTAATGGAATAAAAGACGTCAAACAGGGGGATCAGTGCGGCTGGACGGGGACTCCGGAGACGTGACCGGCGGGTGGCTACACGACTGAACAGAAGATTGTAGAACCACAGAAACATTAAGATTGGAACAGACCTCTAAGATCAAGTCCAACGTCAACCCAGCAGCACCACGCCTGCTAAACCATGTCCTGAAAAGATCATCCCGTCAGTGGGGCTTTCCCTGAGGCCAGGAATTGCACCCTGGAAAATGGTGATGCTCTGAAAAGCGCATGGCGTTATTGGGACAGTGACTGGTCAAGCACGGGAGTGTTGCCTTTTTATTAGAATTTATTTTGTGTTGTGGTAGGTCCCCTGTTGTACAAAGTACCCTGCTATATTTTCATGCTAAACATTTAATACAACTATAAGTGTTGTTAAGAAATTGTTGTTTGACATCACAAAAAGTGCGCTTTTTTCCCAAGCTCAGATTTAAGCATAATCATCCTTCAAAGCTCTTTTACTGCTACTAAAGGTCACGACAGAATCACGCCATTAAAGGTTGCTCTGTCAACAGAGCGTGGGTTGGTTTGTGCTCTGTTCTATATTACAGCACACGTACATGGAACATACAGGCATTATCTGATGTTCACTTTAAAGGATTTCCTATAACTGAGTTACACCTGTATTCACACCGCTGATCTGACACTACTCTCTCAGAGTAAGTTCCATCCTGGGAAACTAACTTTTTGTCGCATACCAGCAGTTTGCCAGAGCTGCATTATTTTAGTTACACCTACATCCCTAACTGGAGGAAGACTGGATGCTCTAGGCCTGCTTCGTTCTTTCCAGTGAATTAGTATGTATAAGGAGAACACATGAAAAGGAACCATGACTGCATTAAGTGTTCACTCTTCATCAGTAGGCAGGGTACTGTTGATAAATATCCCCAGCTAAATTAACAAGTCTTGTCCACATTTGATTTTTAACAGGCCCCTCAGCCTGGCACTAGATCATCAAGGGAGGGATCTCAACAAGAACAAGAGTCATTTCTCTTGCAGGGATATTGCAAATAATAATAACCTCTTGGCTGCTCTGGCACCAACAAAGCTCACATTCATTAAAGGAGAGAAAGACAGACTGAAAACCATCTCCTGTACATGCCCAGTGAGTATATTAAGTACCTGGCAGATGGTGTTTACAAAGAGGAGGGCTCACACTGTCCTCCCACAGTCATGTTGCTGTTTGGAGCTGGGTCAGTCCCTAGGGCAGGGCATGGAGGTCTGGAGTAGATTTGCTTGCCAAAAGAACGATCATTCTTAATATGTTTATCTGGAGGTTTACAATGAGATCACTTGTTCTGGTAGGTTTCAAAGCTGACCTGCTCCTTTTCCCTTAAGGCAGTGAATTTTGATTCTAAATTTAACAGGTTGACTTTTATTGACCAAAAAAGACTGCAGATATTTAGGACCCTTTATCTGTTGTTTAATCTATTGTGAAATGAAAGTTAATTTCTGAAGTAAGGACCTTAAAAGCACACAGCTGAAGACTGCCCCTGACACTTTCATTGCTGAGCTGCGTCTGGTAATTTCACATTCAGTTTATGATATTTACCAGTGATGCAGTCCAGCACCAGCTCTGCTTGAACTTGCACAGATGCAGCAGTTGGATCAAAGCAATAAATCTTCTGAATCAAATTGTCATCAAGTTTCTGCAATGCAGAGAACAAAGAGTCAGGTGGCGGTGAAAAACTGAAGAGCGTGTTGCAGAATTAAAGATGGCTAAGACAAGCATATAGGAAATCTGTAGCTAACGAATTATTTCACTACCAATTCACCCATGGCAAATTCCACTGTATCTTCTTCGAGGAGGAAGAACAGAAAACAAAGTCTCAACATTTTGAAGTCTCACCAGTTTACACTGACTCCAGTTCTCAATCTTCTCTGAGCCCTTCCAGTCTGGATGGAGAAGCAACAGCACAGCCTTAACTATGTTATGTCCCAGAGCCGGCGGTTCTACACAGCTCTTTATTTCAGCAAAGCTCTCAGCACCGAGTTTCTGGACACACTCGCGCAGGTCCTGCAGCATGATCCGGTGGAACAGAATCCCCCCATGCCTCAAATTTGCCACGCGTTCTGCCTCTGGAATCAAAAGCAAACCTTTCAAGAAGTTTCTTAGAAACATCTGCTACTCAAGATTTATGTTATTGACTGAAAGGCTCTGCCCGCTTTATGATTATCTCTCTGTCTCCTTGACTGATTGATTTGTGTACAGCCCAAGTATCCCACAAAATTTTTTAAATGGGTATGTGCTTGAGAAGGAGACAAAACTTGCCTCAGGGGCAAGCAGAGGTCCTGCGACTGTGGAGGGTTCAGACATGCAGGTAGTTATGGACATTAAAATTCTTTTTATCTTAGTTGGGGCAGTTCTGAAGAGGACACGCTAGATCCCTGATAAAACAAAGCACCTTGCTTCACACCTTTGATTTCAGTGGGACTTGGGCACAAAATACCCTGTGAACCAGAGACAAAACTTAAACATTCTGTTTAACCATACTCTGCTAAGCACTTAGGCTTGCTCAGGAGTAGTTTATGTGTACCAAAGCTTTGCATTTGTCTTCTCATACTTGTAGGAATGATACTTTAGATGTGGTTTTACTGAGATTCCTAATTTCACTTCTAAAAAAATTATCTTGGCTCTATATGCACAATACCCAGTACGTAGGTAGGTTCTGTTTCCTCTGAAGACATCTTCAGTATCTCGGAGCAGGCAGCTTGGGCCATCTTTAGCATTCTCTGCAGGTCTTTGTGTTCGTGAGGTGGTAATTTCTGGTAGTGTCCAATGCTGATATCAAATACGCCAAGAGCTTGTCCTGATAGGTCACGGAGAGGCACTGCAATGTGGCATTCTCCACAGACAGAAGTGCGAATGACCACTGAGCTGTCGATGCACTTAAACAGGTAATCTCTGAGAGTAAAGAGAGGAAAATGTACTAGACTTTATCATTCTAATTTCTTTTGGTAATTTATTTAGCATATTTTAGTAAGATTCTGTTAATCTCTTGTTGTTAAAACAAAGGTATTACATTACTAAATCATTGTTTATTTCCTTGAACTGAAATATGCACAGCTTTAATTATAACTCAAGCCATATACAAAGAGGAGAAAATAGCATGGTGGAACACAATATTGCTTAGCTAAGGCAATTGCTGAAAATCATAAGAATTTAACAAACTTTGCTTTAAAAACAGTTCCCTATTTGTAACCATGTTGACATTTGTTCTACAGAGTTTTATAAAAAGTAAGAACATCTGCTGGAACAGCAAATGGCTGTTCAACCAACTTTGACAACAAGGATGATATGCTTAAAAGAGAAGTCTGTGAGGATCTTGGCAGTGGAAGGAAACAGATAGCTGAAGGAAATGAGACTAATATGGCCAGGAAAAAGGACAGATTATTCTAAAGACCAAAATGCTTCAGTGCAGGCTCTAATCCTCCAAACATTTCACAGCAGACGTAGAGCTTGCTTGACAGCTCAGCTGGTGAGCATTAAGTTGGAAGTTACGTTTTGCAGGCCTAAACTTAAAGAGAAAATACTCCTTACTCCTTCATAATTCACTGTCACATGCATAAGCACTACAAGCCTTGATAGTGAGAGAGCTACACTCTGGCAGGGTTGCATTACCGTGGGCTTTACATAATGTGGATGATGCCTGATGCAGGCTGGAGTCTAGCAGCAGAGGTGATTTGTCCAATTGCAGGTGCTGGAGCCTACCTTAAGAGGTTTTCTTTTCTGAGGAGGAGAACAGGAGAGCTATGAATTTCTTTTTGTCCTGTATTATCTGCAGTCATCATCTTGCGCAGAGCGTAGTCCCATGTCTGCCAGAAAGAAAAGGGAGGTTTAGCTGCATCCAAGAAAGGAACAGCCATTTTGAAGCTTGGAGAGGGAGGAAATTGTTTATTTCTTAAAGGAAACTCCTATGTGCATTCAAGTGCAATGGGACGGTTTAAAGGCAACTCCCAACAATGCTTGGTTTTATTCCCAGAGCGTATTGCTCAAGATGCTTGAAGAATGTGCCCTGGACCTCCCTCAGCCAGACTAACCCATCCCCAGGCTCCACGCTGAGGAACTCCCACAGAGCAAGAAGAGGTTTCCCATGTTTCTCCCATCCCCCTGCAGTCCTCTTTCTCATGTCATGTTTGTGTCAGTGTGCCTTGACATGTGAAAAGCACAGAGGGGAGCAAATGCCCTGGCTATCCAGCAGCTAACAAGGGAACAGTGCAGAGCCTGCAATGACAACAGAGAGCTGCCAACATAAACCATGCTTATCAGAGGAAGCAGCTGAATTATGGCTACAGCAGATGTCATACAGACTTTGTGATGACACAGGATCAGTCCTAAATATTGCATACACTTTTCATCTTCTTCACTCTCTTGTATATGAAATGCGAAGCTTCCCAGGGCCCTAGTGCCTTCTCAACAACTGGAATATGATCTGCAGGGAGGGGGGCTGCCTTTACAAGCTAGCTAATGGGGAGCAGCCGCTTCCTGAGTCGTATTCACATCTTGGCTGCTGACATTAGTTCAGAATGAAGAGCTAATACATTAGCTAGGACATTCTTTTTTCCTACAAAATACCATAATTTTGTCATGGACAGAATCTCCACAGAAGAGCATCTCCCTTTGTGGAGGTCCTGAACAGCAAAGCTTTAGCAGAGACTTGCAGTGTTGGCTAACCTATGCATGGATGGATGGGTGTGGGGTTTTTTTCTGTTGGTTGCTGTGCAGCTGTAAGCACTGAATTAGGAGAATATTCCCTTTTCCCATGGAGAAGGAGCTATACTAGCAGTGCTCTTGAATCGTTTTACATGAGAGGATGAAAAGAATGAAGACTGGCATCCTTCAGAGAGGGAAAGTTCCATCTCTACCTTTGCAGCCCTTTTGTTGCATAGGCAGGCACAAGAATCACAGGCAGGCTTCAGTTTTTATGATAAAACCACCGTGAAATGACAGGCAGCTAGAAATGGCAGGTCCTCAGGGAAGTAGCCTTATCAGCCCCTGACTATTACAGGCCTTTTCACTGCAGTAATCTGCTTACCTTGTCTTTGCCAGGCTCCACTAGGTATGTAGTAACAGTGTGGATGCTGGGTGCCCTGGGATACAGCCAGTCCAGAGCAGTAACAGTCATTTGTAGAACATTTTCCAGTGTGCAGATGTGGTGGTAGGCTTTGCTGAACGCATGAGAAACTCCCTGTGAAAGCAGAATCCTCCAAATGAGCCAGACAGTTCCACATGATTTGGGGAAAAAGCTGGGGAAATGTTCATGTGGAAAATGAAGCAAAATGGTTGTAACAAGTTACTTCAATCACAACTTATAAAGCTGAAAAACGACTGTAAAATGTCCCTTCTCAAGTCAGGCTCTAAATGTCCAGAGCACCCGGGTCACAGCCAAGTCCTAAAGCAGACAAAGCTGGTTTTTAGCGGAAATAGCCAAACTGACTGGTAACGTTGGCTTGCTGCGCTCCCTGCTGCCCACACCAAGCATCCACAATGAGGCTGATTCGAAAGAGCATCCCAAAGAAATTCCGCCTGCTGTTGCTTATAATTAGTCCGCCATGTAAAAAGTAAGGTTTCATGCTACTTTATGGAAACAAACACAAATAGGAGGTTCAGAGCTTCAGGAAATAAAAGCTACTATCTTTGAGCTTTGCACAAAAATGCGATTAATTTACTAGTCAGGAGAAGCTTAAATAAATTATTGATGAAGCGATACCTCATTATCAATTACAGGTAAGATACTAATTGGGAAGACATACCACTTGCACCATATACAGTAGAAAGGGACCCACAGTTCTTTTCTTAGTTGTACAGCTTACATTTACGCAGAATGAAAATGTAAAAGTCACACAGTCCCTACACAGTTTTCTGAAGAGTGGTCTAGCAAACTGCTTTCTGATGGTGCCCACCTGACAGAAACTGATCTCATGGGCCAGAAAGATGGTTTTCTCATGCTGGTCCCGAAGAGTGTCAAGTCCTAGAATGCCAAAGGCTCTCCAGCGAGCATCGTGCAACGGCAGGACCAGGAGTGAACCTCTTCTCTCCTCCACTGGGCGATCATAGTTCCAGAAGTGGATATTTCCATGGAGCTGAACTCTTGGAACATGGATTGGCTTTCCCTCTTCAACAGCTGCAAAGCTGAAAAATAAACTTAGGAAGTTTGCTCAGAGTAGCAGAAAACCTTTAGCAAAGCAATAAATACCGCAGCTTTGATCTCTCCCTGTTTGTTGGCATCAGAGAAGGAAGGTGTTTGTTCCTTATTCTGACCACACCCAGAAATACCACATTCACCACATGCATCCCAAAGACAGTGGCAATAAATAAGGCACTTTTCATCCTTAGGACATTTTTAAACCATCAACTAATGAATGTAATGAAAGGGAATACAGAAGCATGCAGCAGTTATATTTAATAGATTAGAAGAAGCAATATTTAAAGAAGGAGGCAAATATGTCTAGCTTTTGGAAATGAGAAGTAAAGAGGCATGAAAGCTGTTTATAGTGTAAACTCTAGGGAAGGAAAAGCATTGTTCTCAAAAAATACCCTGTGGATGTAAACGGGTGTAAGGGAATTAATTTTTAAAGCAGAAAACGTAGGCCAAATATAATAGACTTTTGCTAAAGGATGAGATTTATTAGACTATGAGCTAATCTCCCCAAGGAAAGGAGTGAAATCTCAAACAGAGCAGTTCTAAGTAGACCGTGCAAAGTATAAGGGAATGTATACGATAATGAATCATTCCACAACAGTCCCTGAGGAGATTTCGTCTCTGGAGTACTCCATCAGGCTCTGTTTCCAGTGCACCCCAAACACTGCCTGGTATCCTCACATTCCAAACATTTCTGAGAAAAAGGAACAGTTATTTGCAGCTTTTCTTACCTTACTCCATTCATGTCTCTGTAAAGTATCTGGTTTAGAACATATGGGGCATCATCTGCGGTACATGCCACATAGTGTAGGAGAATCTGTCCCCGCTCTGGTGAGAGCTGGTTCTCTTCCAAAAGGGCAATATATGCACTGATCTTCTTGTTATCCCCATGGGCTTCTGCATCCTAGCAACAAAATGTTTCCCATTGCATTATGTACATTAGCCATTGGCTGTTACACTTATTTCATGTACTTAGCACTTGCCTCATTTTTGCTGAGATGCAGTTAGGGTCACTGATTTTGTATGTCATGCACCAACTGCATGACATGCATGTGTCTGTGCTGTGATCGTGCCTGACCAGTATACTCAGCTATAAGCAAGAACACTTCATATTTCGATTGGCAAGGAAAATCGATTTCTTTTTTTCCTGCTGCTAATGGGGAGCAGCTCATATAAAAATAATCCCTAATTATAACCTGTGCCCAAGTGAAACTCTTATGGATTTCTTCTCCAATAGGAGGTTCCTTAGGGAAAATCAGACAAACAAGTGTCAGAGTTGCTACATTTACAAACCTAAATGTTGTAAGAACACTTCAGCTACTATGAGAAGTTTTGCTTTGAGGAGGGACTTAATGGTGAAGGACAAACATCTGAAGTTGCAGCTGCAAGTTAAAAATTAAACTATATCTCCACTACAATTTAACCATCTTTGTCCCAAACTGAGTCTGGTGTGTTTCATTTCAGAAGCTCTAAAACTAGAACTATAGATTTCCAGATTTGAACCAAGTCAGCTCTTCAAAAAGTGAGATATCCCTGGCATGCGTTCTGTACTGGCAGAGCATGGATGAGAATTCTTGTATTGCAGATCTGACCTGTGACTCTTTCTGTGCATAACCATGGGCTCTCCTGAGCGTCGTCTAAGTCTGGAAAGCCACAAGGAAGCCAGCCTCAGAGCAGCTTCCCCCGCTGCTTGCGAGTTCCACTCAAATGCGCCAGGGTCTGCAGTCAGTGTCACAATCCCAACCCCAATCCCTGGGGTGCGTACCTGCGAGAGGGCCTTAAACACTGCTTTGTAAACCGGCTCCATGCTTGCTCCGCTGGTCTCAGCTGCTTGCTGGATATTGTGCAGCCATCTCCTCCTGGCTAAGCTTTGCAGGCACTCCATGCGACTTCGTTTCACGCTTGCAGTCAGAAATTCCACCAAATTGTCAATACCTTCATCCTCATCGCCAGTGAACTCGGCAGCAACTAACTCAAGGAAAGTCTGGAATGCCTTTGGGGATAGCTTCCCCATTCTGCTGAGCTGTGGGTAACGGGAGCAAAGGTGTTTCTTTGCTAGGAGAAGAAACAGAAAATAAGACAGGGACAGTCTATTTGAATAAAATGTTCTGCTTTTCTCGTGCAAAATATGAAGAAAACCTAAACTGGCTTTCGGTGGAACGCTCCAGTCCATCATTCTGGGTTTCTCCCAGCTATCTGCTAAATGTAAGTTGTCATCCTGATAGGTCATCATCTCTAGCTTCAAGACTGGCTGCACCATTTCCTCTAGATGCCTACTTAGTCGCCTACTGAGAAAGAAACATGCACGGCATTGCTCCTGGGCCCCTTTCGTACCTCTGCAACACACGTAAACAGCAAAGGTCAATGGAAAATAAGAAAGCTGCTTGGAGTTATCAAAAATGAGAGGTATCTTCACATCAGAACCAAATTTTATGGTTGCTTGAGGGGCTGGTGGGACTGGGTTGCAGGTGGGCATTCTGCATACAGTAATAGTTGAGACCTTACAGCAAAACTATTCATCAATCCCATTAAAAATGTAAAGGCCAGAATCTGCAGATGATTTCACAGACCACTCACATTCCTGGATTTTCCATTATATACCATACTTGCAGACATTACGGTTTTCTTTTGAAGCCTTCCAAAGTAACTATCATTCTTAATTACCTTTCTTTAGGTGCCTTTGATGAATTATTGAAATAACATTTGTATTGTGCTAAATCTCATAAATGAAGAGCAAAGAAAATGAAAGCTCTGCTGAAGTTATACAGAGGTCAGGAGAACAGTGCCCCGGCATCGCCTGTACTGCACCAAGAGATGTAGGTGTGGAGCAGAAGGAGCAAGAGAGCTTTTATAAGAAATACACGGTTTAGAAGAATAAATTAGTATGAAATGCATTTAAAATAATGAAAAAGCATGTAAAATAATGAAGTGCTGCCTGTTAGCTCCCAGGGGAGTGAAGAAGCAGAGATGACTGCAGTGAGGCTGCTCCTTCCCATCTTCCCCAAGGCTGGGGAGTGGAGTCCTGCCCCAGTCCCCTTTTTCATGTCCCAGAGCTTGCAGCTGAGCTGGCCCAAATACGGGCAGCCGAGCTGCAGTAGAAAGGTCTGGCAGAGTTTCCCTTCGCTTGGAGGAAGGAGGAACGCCACAAGGGTCAAACTGTGATTCCCCAGAACTGCTTTCCTCTGCTCATTGTAGCTCACAAACTTCCAGTGTGCCCAGGGGTCCTGAGGCCAAACGGGACTCATCTCAGGCTCGGAAACCTGACAGCCCGAGGATGAAAATGTCAACGGGTTTCCACCCCGCGGCAGCCGCTCCCGGCGCCGGGCTC